GATTTCTATGTGAATGGAATTTCGAGATACGTTGTCGGTACTATAAAGTAGACCTACATATAATCACCAAGATTATTACAAGTGAATATTTATTTATTATACACAAAGTATAAATATTAAATCTTTCAAAAGTTAAAATTGTAATATGAATAGTCAATCAATATTGAATACATATTTTAACTTTTAAACCTGTCCCAAATGGCTGTAGAAGACACCTACTGAACTTAGAAGTTCAAGGAATTTGGGGTGGGGAAGTGTACGTGTGTTTTGTCAATATTTATTGGGCCCACAAGTTAATGTTAGGACCTACAACTTTCATGAATGGCGTCTACCAGCAGTTCCTGTTGGCTTACAAGTTTTCTTGCCGAATTTTAAACACTGCACAGCTCCATTGCCCGCGTTGGAAGAAAGTCGTTTTTATACGCCCACATTTTCATTTGGACGTATATTGTCGTCCGGACGTCCGTCCACAATTGTTTGTGAACAGTCTACAGGTCACAATTTTTATCCGATTTCAATAAAACTTGAAATATAGGTTTATCATCCTAAGATCTCGGTTCCTTTCGATATTGGCATCTATCGAACCATAACTTCATGGATTATGGCCCCTGATTGTACGAAAAATCACGTTTTTGGCTTGTGAACACTGTAGAGGTCACAATTTTTATCCGATTTTGTTGAAACTTGAAATGTAAGTTTATAACCCAAAGATCTCGGTTCCTTTTGATATTCGCGCATATTGGACCGTAACTTCCTGAATTATGGCCCCTGATTGTACGCAAAAATGCGTTTTTTGGCTTGTGGACCCTATAGAGGTCATAATTTTTATCCGATTTAAAAAAACGTATTATTATATCACCGTTAAACCCTAAGGACGGTTGAGTTCCAATTTCGTGAAAATCGGCCCACAACTGACAGACAAAATAGCCGCCGTTCATTCTCAAATAGCGTAAAAATATGGTATATCAAGGTTGTGGACCCTATAGAGATCACAATTTTTATCCGATTTTGTTGAAACTTGAAATGTAAGTTTATAACACAAAGATCTTGGTTCCTTTCAATATTCGCGCATATCAGACCGTAACTTCATGAATTATGGCCCCTGATTGTACGAAAAATCACGTTTTTAGCTTGTGGACCCTATAGAGGTCATAATTTTTATCCGATTTAAAAAATCATATTATTATATCACCGTTACACCCTAAGGACGACTGAGTTCGAATTTCGAGAAAATCGGCCCAAAACTGACAGACAAAATGGCCGCCCCTCAATCTCAAATTGCGTAAAAATATGGTATATCAAGGTTGTGGACCCTATAGAGGTCACAATTTTTATCCGATTTTGTTGAAACTTGAAATGTAAGTTTATAACTCAAAGATCTTGGTTCCTGTCGATATTTGCGCATATCGAATTGTAATTTCCTGAATTATGGCCCTTGATTGTAGGAAAAATCACTTTGGTTTTAGCTTGTTTTCTATCCATCTCTCGAAAATGTGGGCGTATCCTGCCTGGCAGCCGCTGGTTTCCAGATTTGTAACCCTTTTTGAACTTAATGTCAAACAGTGGCTACTTAATCTTTTGTAATAATTTTTAAATATTTTGGAAGCAGATATCCTGTTCTTTTGTTTGATATAATTTTTATACGCCCACATTTTCATGTGGACGTATATTGTCGTCACCCCTGTCCGTCCGTCCACAATTGTTTGTGAACAGTCTACAGGTCACAATTTTTATCCGATTTCAATGAAACTTGAAATATAGGTTTATCACCCTAAGATCTCGGTTCCTTTCGATATTGGCATGTATCAGACTGTAAATTCATGGATTAAGGCCCCTGATTGTACAAAAAATCAAGTTTTTTGCTGTGAACACTGTAGAGGTCACAATTTTTATCCGATTTAGTTTAAACTTAAAATGTATGATTATAACCCAACGATCTTGGTTCCTTTCGATATTTGCGCATATCGGAACGTAACTTCCTGAATTATGGCCCCTGATTGTATGAAAAATCAAGTTTTTAGCTTGTGGACCCTATAGAGGTCATAATTTTTATCCGATTTAAAAACCTGTATTATTATATCACCGTTACACCCTAAGGACGACTGAGTTCGAATGTTGTGAAAATCGACCCAAAACTGACAGAAAAAATGGCCGCCCTTCGTTCTCAAATAGCGTAAAAATATGGTATATCAAGGTTGTGGACCCTATAGAGGTCACAATATTTATCCGATTATGTTGAAACTTGAAATGTAAGTTTATAACCCAAAGATCATGGTTCCTTTCGATATTTACGCATATCGAAGTGTAATTTTCTGAATTATGGCCCTTGATTGTAGGAAAAATCACTTTCTTTTTAGCTTGTTCTCTATCCATCTCTCGAAAATGTGGGCTTATCCTGCCTGGCAGCTGCTGGTTTTTAATCGGTACAGACTTGAAGGTTCACGCATGCAGAGCGTCTTATGAACAAAATTATATTCCTTACACCGGTAGTAATCATTTCTTTATATTGTGCACAAACGTCATTCCATAAATAGCCCCACACCCCTTTACTTTAACAACTAAAACAAGGCATGATTTTTCTGTTAGACAATTTATTCTACACTCTTTGATGTGCTTTATAACTATTGAAGAGGCTCAAATTCATAAGATCTGGTTGTTAGATCTTTACTCTGTGTGTTGATGGATAAAACAATCAAAATTAATATTTGTGTCTGTGATAATTATTGGAAACAGAACGGTTTTATTAATTAGGATATTTAACGTCTATGGTATGAATACGGTACCATTAGCAGTTTGTATTTGGAATTTACAAGTTGAATGGGTGTCAGTTAACCCGTCCACAAGCAAACTCGTACATAGATACATGTAAGGTAATACTTGACTCGTATATAATTTAATTGATTAGAATAATCGTGTCCACCTTACAACAGGTTCCATTGATTTACTTTTTATTTTGGGGGGTTGGATGGCCAAATGGTTAGCACGCGCGCGCTGTATCATGAGGCCTGTCATTGAGTCAACTGGCGTGGTTTCGAATCCCTGGTTGTACGTGATGAGGAGTAGGGTTGCCTGTCCAGCCTCATGGGTTTTCCCCGGGTCCTCCGGTTTCCTCCCACTGATAAAGACCCCTACACGCAAGCAAATTAAGGAAATAAAATTGAACCATGTTTGTCCCGAAATGACCTGATTTGTGTCGAGTAGACATTAAACCCCATTTCTCTCTCTCTCTCACGATTCATTTTATAATTTATCACACAGTTTAGACCACAATGTGTTAAGATTTGCATTTTGGTATTCTAAATTGATTCTTATTCGGAATTCTTAAACTAACAAACAATACGAGTATACTTTATTACAAAAACATCGGTGAACTAATCTAAAATCATAATGGCAATTAACTAACAATACGAATATACTTAACTACAAAAAAAATTGGTGAACTGACCTTAAATCATAACGGCAATTAACAAACAATACGAATATACAGCAGTGAACTAATCTCGGTAATCAACAAAAATCGAAGAGTAAAACTTATTTATTCCATACATTATTGTTTATTTAACAATAAGTAAGTGTTTAACAGTTTATTTAACAATAAGTATAACTCAGTTAATTGAGGCGCCATGTAGTCTTAACGACTGGAGACAACACATGGCTACGTGTAATTTTATCTTTTATACACGGGACATTTCTGTTATTCAAACCAATCTGCACACATTACAAGTTAACAGTTCATCATTGATTTGGGGTATATGTGGAAAAGGCTTTTCGATCAAAATACAGTTATTTTTTCTAAAATAAAACGAGTGCCTTGGATTTTTGATAGCGGTTATAATTAACTAATATTCTCTTACATTGGAGACTTGTGTTGCGTTCAGTTCTTTTTTATGGTAAGTACAAGCTTACATCTGACTTAAAAGCACTTTCGAATCCCATTGCAAGTTCTATTTATGTCTTATTTCTATTTGTAAGACCGATAACCAAAATACCTTTATAGTTTGCAATTTAAAAGTCTATCTTTTCCGTGATTCTAGAGTAATACTTAACTATACACTCTTAATGCAGTAAATATGCTAAACAATTTGAACACAGCATAAATATCTAAACTGTGTAATACATATATAATCTTATGTGAGTAGCAAAGGTAAATACTGGTCAGAGTGGTCTTACAATATAAATTAATTGGTCTGAGTGGTCTTTTGGTTTGAGTAGTCTTTTCTGTTAGTCCGAGGGGTCTTTTTTTTGGTCCGAGTGGTCTGGATACCTTTAAAATGTACTAGACATGCAGCTTTACATGACTGGTTGGAAATATAACCGCATGTATATCGTGCAGAATATGTTAACATGCGTGTTATCACTATACAACGTGGCCTAACGCATCCGTATTATTAACAAAAATATTCAACATTCATAACATCGTGGCAGTACATCGTTTTGACATCGATTGTTTATGACAAATAAATACTGTTAATTTTGCATGTAAAATTACACTGAGGCCTATTGTGTCACACAGCTATTGTGGCACACGATAATGACTGCTACACCAAGTTATTTATCATGGCAATATTGTCGCGTTATCATGGCAATTTTCAACAAAAAACGACACGATAATCGTGTTCCATCAAACCTTTGTGACGTTTGTACTGTATGTTATTTCTATTAGTTGGGGCATAAACTCTCTAGCAGTAAATTTTGGTTTTGAGAAGTTCAATAGATTTTGGTTTACTATGGAAAACAGAATTGGTAATATCTCGGAATTGACTGTATCTATACACATAAATCTTTCATGGGAGATAGAATGTCATTCGATGAAATAAACATGTACATAAATTCAAATATTGACAAATTCAAAGTTATGATAAACAAAATTTCAGAGTAATTGTAATTTTGTTATGTTGTGGAATAATTGTGTTGGTAACAGTATGGAAGAAAATTTAAGTTTCATATTTTTTTGAAACAGAATTAAAAAGTATTTATTTATGATGAATTTTTTTTTTCAGTCGCCTACCTCCAAGTAGAAGTTATGGTAGGGATCCTCCAGTGAATTCTCGTGCAAATCCACCTTCTAGTAGAGATTATTCTGTTAGAGATTATAGTCCAGAGCGTAGTATGACAAGAGCTCCTGTCAGAGGTTACCAAGAAAGGTTAGTTTTAAATGATCGGAAGATAACCCACATATGTTCCACTGGCATTTGGTCAAGAACTGTACTGTAATTAAATGTAAATAGTGGTGAATTTGTATAGTGTAATATTAGGTGTCACGGCTCCATTGCCCGTGCTGGAAGAAAGTAGTTTTTATACGCCCACATAGAATTGTGGACGTATATTGCCGTCGCCCCCGTCCTTCCCGTCGGTCCCTCAGCCGGTCGTCCACAATTTCTTGTGAACGCTCTTAACGCCAAAAGTTATCATCCAATTGTTTTAAAATTGATATATGTTGTTTACATTAGTGAGATGAAGAAGCCAATTTAATTTCAATAATTTCCGTTTATAACGTCTAGAGTTATTGCCCCTGTTTCACTTTGTTGAACCTTGTGAACGCTCTAATGCAAAAGTTATCATCCGATCTATGTGAAATTTATATGCAATATTTAAATTAGGGAAATGAAGAAGCCTAATGAATTTCAGCAATTTCCGTTTATTACTTCTAGAGTTATGGCCCTTGTTTCACTTTGTTTAACCTTGTGAACGCTCTAACCCCAAAAGTTATCGTGCTATCTTTCTGAAATTTATATGCATTATTTAAATTAGTGAAACGAAGAAGCCTATTTAATTTCAATAATTTCCGTTTATAATGTCTAGAGTTATGGCCCTTGTTTCACTTTGTTGAACCTTGTGAATGCTCTGCCAAATTTAACATCCGATCTTTGTGAAATTTATATGCAATATTTAAATTAGGGAAACGAAGACGCCTATTGAATTTCAGCAATTTCCGTTTATTACTTCTAGAGTTATGGCCCTTGTTTAACCTTGTGAACGCTCTAACCCCAAAAGTTATCATCCTATCTTTCTGAAATTTATATGCATTATTTAAATTAGTGAAACGAAGAAGCCTATTTAATTTCAATAATTTCTGTTACAATAATGTCTGGAGTTATGGCCCTTGTTTCACTTTGTTGAACCTTGTGAACGCTCTAATGCCAAAAGTTATCATCCGATCTTTGTGAAATTTATATGCAATATTTAAATTAGGGAAACGAAGATGCCTATTGAATTTCAGCTATTTCCGTTTATTACTTCTAGAGTTATGGCCCTTGTTTCACTTTGATTAACCTTGTGAACGCTCTTACCCCAAAAGTTATCATCCTATCTTTCTGAAATTTATATGCATTAAATTAGTGAAACGAAGAAACCTATTTAATTTCAATAATGTCCGTTTATTACTTCTAGAGTTATGGCCCTTGTTTCACTTTGTTTAACCTTGTGAACGCTCTAACCCCAAAAGTTGGTCGCCTGTCCAACCTCGTGGGTTTTCTCCGGGTCCTCCGGTTTCCTCCCAGTGCTAAAGACCCCTACGAGCAAGCGAATTATTGAAATAAAATTAAACCATGTTAGTCACGAAATGACCTAGTTTGTGTCGAGTGGACGTTAATCTCTCGATTTTTACCGTAAAACAGTAATCACAATTTCTCGTTACATATTGGTATTACATGAAGGGATGGGGCAGGGGTGTCAAGCCAAATACAAACAACCCCGTGAAACGTAGACGAATAATTTCGTAGTTAGTCATATTGTAAGATTTACGTTGTTTTCTTTATTTTGACATTATTGAGAAAATATTTGAATAATAAATACGGGTTATTTTACAAGACATCTCTTTTGAAAATTTCCCTTACGTTTAATTTTAACTGAAATGCCTAAATTGATTGACCTGCAAAGAACAAACCATTGTGACCCTTCTTGAATGCCAACCATTTGCATATCAGAATCATATTAACAATTGTGATTGTTTTTTTTAATAAAGATGTCAAACCTTTTTTGGTAATTTTTAGTACTGACAATTTACAATACAAGTCGTTCTGTCGAGACGACTACAACAGGGTATCATTTTGTTGTAAAATGTGCGTCTATGATCTGTCAGTTGGTTTCTTTTGATGTCACGTGCCAATTCACATTATGAAACCTTGATTGACAGTATGGATTCCCCAGACTCTTTGGTGCGGAGATGAAAAGTCAGCATTATATTATCGCCTTTATCGGACTGATATGTGTCCATGTACATGTATTCATCAAAGTGTGCTTCATATCAGGTGACGAAGACTTAATTCATTTGTGATTTAAACCAGAAAAGATATATTAGTTGAGGTGTGATTTACCAATAATGTATGCACCTTGTGACTTATTTGTCAGTGTGTGAATTACTATTTGGATGGATAAAACTACACCCCGGTAAGACCAGAATCGATTTGTGCACATTTTATCATTTTTCCGTAATATGAATGAATTTGTAATAGTTGAGTGATGCAAGTATTAAAAATATGGAACATATTAATGAAGTAATAACGTATTGGTATCTTTAGGCATATTCTGTTTAGAAGAAGAATGAATAGTTCCTTGGGATTTTTTCCCGAAAAATGTGTTTATTCCTGTTCTGATTTCGAACTACCCGTCAAATATTCAGATTAATGGAAAAATGCCAACGTAGTAACTGATCTATAATAATTAAAGTGCTACATGTATTTCACCTAAAATAAACGACGAGAGGCATGTTTTGATTAAAACACCGAGTCACACCGTGTTTTCAACACCGTGGCAGTGCTATCGTGTCACTCGATATTCACTCGGTAAATCATGGAATTCCACGATAGAAAACATGGTAATATCGTGTTTGGTCAAACTTTCACGATCTCCGTACTGTATATCATAGTTAAAACCTATTATTGATGGTCGAGTTCGAATTTCGTGAAAATTGGACCGAAACTGTCAGACAAAATGGCTACCCCTTGTACGCAAATAGTGTGAACATCTGGAATATCAAGGTTTTGGACCTCCTAGAGGTCACAATTTTGATCCGATTTTGATGAAACTTGAAATGCATGTTTATAACCCAAAGATCTTGGTTCTTTTCGATATTCGCACATATCGGATTGTAACTTTTCTGAATTATGGCCCTTGATTGTACGGAAAATCACGTTTTAAGCTTGTGGTCCCTACAGAGGTCATAATTTTTATCCAATGTAATAAAAAACGTGTGAATATATCAGTCATACACTAATGATGGTTGAGTTCGAATTTCGTGAAAATCGGACAAAAACTGACAGACATAATGGCCTCCTCATGTACGCAAATAGTGTAAAAATATGGTATATCAAAGGTTGTGGAGCCTCTAGAGGCCACAGTTTTTATCCAATTTGGATAAAACTTTAAATGTATGTTTTTATCATAAAGATCTTGGTTCCTTTTGATAATCACACATATCCGAACGTAACTTCCTGGATTATGACCCCCGATTGGTAAAAAAATCTCATTTTTAGCTTGTGGATTCTCTAGAGGTCACAATTTTTTTTCCGATTTTAAAAACCATTTAGATTTATTACCATTCCACCATAATGAAGGTTGAATTGGAATTTCTGGAAAATTGAAATGAAACTGCCCGACAAAATTTTGATCCAATTTTGATGAAACTTGAAATGCATGCTTATAACCGAAAGATCTTGTTTCCTTTCGATATTTGTGCATATCACATGTTAACTTCCTGAATTATGGCCCCTGATTGTATGAAAAATCACGTTTTTAGCTTGTGGTCCATCCAGAGGTCACAATATTTTTGCGATTTAAAAAAACCTTTAATAGTATATCACCATTACACCATAATGATGGTTGAGTTCGAATTTTGTGAAAATCAGATCAAAACTACCGGACAAATACATTAAAAACGTCGCAATGGTTTGACGAAACATGATTATCATGTCGTTTTTTGTTGAAAATTGCCACGATTACGCCACGATAAATAACTCGACTTAGCTTTTGCTAACGTGTGCCTCGATAGTCGGGTGACACAATAGGCCTCAGTGTAATTTTACATGCAAAATTAATGGTGTTTATTTGTCATAAACAATCGATGTCAAAACGATATACTGCCACGATGTTATGAATGTTGAATATTTTCGTTAATAATACGGATGCGTTAGGCCACGTTGTTTTGTGAGAACACAGGTGTTCACTTATTCTGCATGATATACATGCGGTTATATTTCCAGCCAGTCATGAAAAGCTGCATGTCTAGTACATTTTAAAGGACACGTATACATAAGACTATATGTATTGAACAGTTTAGATATTAATGCTGTGTTCAAACAAATTGACTTTGGCTTAATATTTGGGATTTTGTCTCATTAAAGATACATTATACGATTTAGATAAAGAGCTGATGATTCATGCTATAATACTAATAGCTCAAAAATGATGTAAAATGAAAATATTGAAAATTTCATTTAAATTACTTCAATTCTGAGCCAAGTTATCACTGCCTGTAGTTTTGAAAAGATGTGTGCATTGTGGTAACCGGGGCACTGGTATATTCGAGACTTGGCCTTGCTTTCCCATTTTTAATTAAATTTTTAAATGGCGAACCGTTCTAATCTCGATAAAATCTTGACTATGTGATGCCATTGAGAGTTGATTATGGTCTTGGTTTGTTAATAAATGTCTAATTAATAATAGTTTATATAACATTTCAGGCCTAAATAAAGACCTGCAATAGACAGATTTAGCTCTTGCATAATGTATGTTTAATTGAAATAACATTTCAGATCATCCCAATTCGATACCTTTTTTTTGTTAATTTAATTGTAGTAGAAATGACTATGGGCCATACAGACCTGAGAGAAAGGACAGTTTTGAGCGCTCATCAGGTAGAGATTACAGCTCAAGAGGTGACTACGTAAGTCGTGATATGGGTCGGGACCCTCCACCCAGAGATACCTATTCTTCCAGGGAGTCATACCCTTCCAGAGATCCACTACCGCCAAGACGTGACTATGGTGACTCAAGGTTTGTTCTACATTTCATATGTAATGTATTGTTAAAATGTAAAATGGTTTGAGGGTGTAAAGTGCTTGCTTAATTTGGCATATCCATTGTAGTTATATATTTAACTTAAAATTATTTCTCTGAATTTTTAATGTTCAGTAATCAGGAATTCTTTGTTCAACTCTTTAAACTCTATTGGTTTAAAACTTGCAAGTTGTATGCCTGTTTAGTCATTCGGATGGGATGGGAAACCGAGGTCCCATGTACACATTGGCGTGCATGTAAAAGATCCCTTGACAGTTGGAATTCGATATAAGAGTAGGCTGTAGTGCCGCTGTCTGGGCAAAATTTCCCTCATATGCCCGTCCTCATTAGCCCAGTAGGATGTTAAACCCAATTTAATTTCTGTATGCGTATGTTTTAGGGAATATAGCAGTGGTCGCAGTGGAGGTGGATTTTCATCTAGAGATGATATACATGTTGGCAGAGGTCCTCCACCCAGAGAAACAAGCTACAGGGGTATGTCTTCATCGCTGAATCCATAAAGTTAAAATGAATGCCATAATGATTAAATGAATTTAGATAACAAATTTCAGGAAAGGAACTCATTTAAAACTTTTTGAATGGCTGATGAAAATCTTAAAGCTAATAATACATCTAGTAAATAAGTATAAAAGAGGTTATATTGTATGATGGAACAGGACTTCATTTTTGGCAAGAGCTTTAAAAGGTTTCGCAAATTAGCTGAAAAGAATTTATTATCTCTTTTTATTTAATAATAATCTACACATTTTTGCCCAATTACAGAGGAAACCCCGCATCATGTGACAGTTAAGCTACACGTGACTTTCTCTATTGAAACTAATATGTATTACAAAAAAAAACGATACATATCAATATCTAAATTTTAACTCTTGTCACCCATCTCATACGAAATGAAACATCCCATATAACCTAGCTAAGCGAAATTTGTACAATTGTGTCCAATCAAGATGTCAAAGTTCAGAGACTACAGGAACTAAGATATCCAGGCAAATTAATAGACGATGCTAACCAAAGAGCATTGAGTCTGGATCAAAGCGTATTAAGACAACCTAAAGTTCCTGTAAACTCGGATAAAAGGAACGTTGCCTTTGTTACTACATTCAATCCGTCCCAGGAAAATGGGAAATCTATCATTGAAAATTACATCCATATCCTTAACGGAAGGTATATATTAAAGACCCAAATGATGCTTAGGTTGAGAATGAACCTCCATCGACAGCACATACGAGGGGTGATTGATAAGTAGTGAGTCTTAACACAGAAAGAAACAAATTCAAATCAAATGCATTCATTTTTCAACATAGTTCCCCTTCAATGTAATACACTTATGCCATCGGTGTTGCAGAGCCTTTATTCCAGTTCTGTAGAAGTCTTTGTCTTGGGTGTGTAGAAAATCATCCACAGCGGCAATGCCGTCATCGTCAGACGGGAAATGCCTACCGGAAAGAAATTTCTTCAGAGCAGGAAACAGAAGACTGAAGGAGCTAAATCAGGAGAGTAGGGTGGATGCTGAAGAAGTTGAAAACCACAGTCATGGATTGCTGACATGGCAACAGCTGATTTGTGCACTGGCGCATTGTCCTGGTGGAAAATCACACCTTTGGTCAACTTTCCTCGTCTTTTGGTCTTAATTTCTTGCCTCAACTGCCTTATAAGTGCTGGGGGGTTGGATGGCCGAATGGTTAGCGTGCGCGCGCTGTATCATTAAGTCTGTCATTGAGTCGACTGGCATGTTTTCAAAATCCCCGGTTGTACGTGGCAAGGAGTAGGGTCACCTGTCCAACCTCGTGGGTTTTCTCCGGGTCCTCCTGTTTCATCCCACTGCTAAAGACCCCAACGCGCAAGCGAATCATGTAAATAAAATTAAACCATATGTTAGTCCCGAAATGACCTAGTTTGTGTCGAGTGGACGTTAAACCCCATTTCTCTCTCTGTCTTATAAGTGCTGCATAGTATCTACCGTTAATTGTTTGACCCTTTTGGAGGTAATCCACCATGAGAACACCCCCAGAATAATGCTCAAGGCCATCACCTTTCCACTGTTTTGACTGCTCTTTTGTTTCTGGCTGAAAGTGGTGGACCCAAGTTTCATCCAGACCATAGTAACAATTTGTTTTAGAAAGCGGTCAGGATCGGTTTCAAATAAGGCTAGATTCCCTTCTGACATGTGTCTTGAACGCTTTTGATCAGGTGTCAAAAGCTTTGGCACCCATCGTGCTGAAACTTTTGTCATTTCCAAAGTTTCAGTGATAATAGAATGAACACTCTCCTGGCTAATACCAACTACCCCAGCTATAAATCGTTCAGTAACTCGCCAGTCATTCATTATCAGATCATGGATTTTTTGTACCATTTCAGGTATTGACACAGTTTTTGGTCGACCAGGCAGGGTTCGTCTTCAATGCTGTCTCGGTTACGCTTGAATTCAGCTGACCACCTTTTAATTGTGGCATATGAAGGAGCATCATATCCTAATGTCTCAACAATATCATCATGTATGGCTTTCGGTGTTAGACCCTTTTTATGCAGATACTTAATCACAGCTCTCGCCTCGATATGGTCCATTTTCTGATAACAACAGGCCCTGCTTGATTGTCAAACAGTTGAACTGAATGTGATGAAAGTTTGTGACAGAGACCGAGGAATATAATAGTGCATGTGCAAAACGTGGTATCATTGTGTTGCACGATTTTCTAATCGAGGCTCACTACTTATCAATCACCCCTCGTACTTCAACCAAAATACAGGATGATCCCGCTCAGTGAGCATTTTGAAGTATGTGGTGGGGGCAAATTTATGGTATTTATACGCCCACATTTAAATGTGGACGTATATTGCCGTCGCCCCCCGTCCGTCCGTCGGTTCACAATTTCTTGTGAACGCTCTAACGCCAAAAGTTATAATCCAATTGTTTTAAAATTGATATATGTTGTTTACATTAGTGAGATGAAGAAGCCTATTTAATTTCAATAATTTCCGTTGATTACGTCTAGAGTCATGGCCCTTGTTTCACTTTGTTGAACCTTGTGAACGCTCTAATGCCAAAAGTTAACATCCGATCTTTGTGAAATTTATATGTAATATTTAAGTTAGTGAAACGAAGAAGCCTATTGAATTTCAACAATATCTGTTTATTACGTCTAGAATTATGGCCCTTATTTCACTTATTGAACCTTGTGAATGCTCTAACTTCAAAAGTTACCATCCATGAAAATCAGAAAAAACTGACGGACATAATGTTCACCTTTTGTACACAAATAAATAGTGTAAAAATATGGTATATCAAGGTTTATATCCTATTTGGATGACACTTTAAATATATGTTTTTATCATAAAGATCTTGGTTCCTTTTGATAATCACACATATCCAAACGTAACTTCCTGGATTATGGCCCCTGATTGGTCGAAAAATCACATTTTTAGCTTGTGGATTCGGAGCCATGGTGGCTTGGTGGTTAAGACACTGGCTTGCTAGCCTGGAGGTCGGGTGTTCGATCCTGCATTGGCCGAGAAAGTTCATCCAGATTTTCTGACGTGGTTTCCCCTTGTCAGTGGTGCAGAACAGAGAGCTAGACAAGGACAGCTGTCTAGTCCTTCGGATGAGACGAAAAACCAAGATCCCGTGTATATATTAGAATGCACTTAAAAGATCCTCAGGCAGTTGGAATTTGATATAAGAGTAGGCGATAGTGCCGCTTTCCCTCGTAGCACACTGTATGGCGTATGCCCGTCTTCATTAGCCTAGTATACGATCAGAACAGTAGGACGTTAAACCCCATTTCATTTCATTTCGCTTGTGGATTCTCTAGAAGTCACAATTTGTTTTCCGATTTTAAAAACCGTTTAGTTATATCACCATGCCACCACCATAGTGAAGGTTGAATTTGAATATTTGCGCATTTCAGACCATAACTTACTGGATTATGGCCCCTGATTGTAGTAAAAATCATTTTTGTTTTTAGTTTGTTCTCTATCCATCTCTTGCAAAATGTGGTCGTCCGCTGGTATACGTTGAATTGGAATTTCGGGAATCGAAATGAAACTGACCGACAAAATGGCCGTTCTTTGTACGCAAATTGTGTATTAATATGTAATACAAAGGTTATGGACCCTCTAGAGGTCTCAATTTTATCCGATTTTGATAAAACTTAAAACATATCTTTATATTCATAAAATCTCAGTCCCTTTTGATATTTGCGCATTTCAGGCCATAATTTTCTGGATTATGGCCCCTGATTGTTCAAAAAATCGTTTTTGTTTTTAGCTTGATCTCTATCCATCTCTTGCAAAATGTGGGCGTATCCTGCCTGACAGCCGCTGGTTTAAGGCATTATAAGAATGGAATTCAGACATGACTAGATACAATGCTTGCTACAATATTGGCATATCTGTGTCTTTATCTAGACAATATACCAGATATGTTACTGGATATAACATTACATACATAGATGCAAGACAAATGAATATTCTCATGAAATTTATAATATCAGTTTAAAAAATCATACTTTTCTGTTGTAGATTCTGGGCCATCAAGAAGTTATGGAATGAGTGAGTATTTGATGTAAATTTTTCCCTGGTTACTATTTCAGTTAAAAAAAAAAAAAAAGCCTACATGCATATATTGTGGATTGTGAAAAAGTTCACATCCATTTATGGCAGTATTCTTTATACCAGACTCCTTTCGAAAACACCTCACTCACTCTATGTGTATAAGCATTGTAGAATCTGTAACTATCTGCATCAGTAAACTGCACATCATCTATAAAACCGTGAAATCTTCCGTGAAACCTTTACAAACACCATAGCAACTTCTTCAAGTACTGGAATAAAGCAAATATGGACCGTAAATGAAAAACATTGGAGCAAATTTCAAATTAATGGCAAAAGGAAATCAACAATTGGATAAAAACACAATTTGAAAATTTAAGGGTTAATTTATTGGAGGACTCGTTTGACTGAAACCAACACCTGTCAACTTGTCCATTAGGATGAAAACATTACTACCAGTGACATTTTTCTTTATTATTATACAATACAAAATGTGTTCACATTGATCAAGAACACCCTACACCCCACACTATTAAATATCAGCCTCTTTTATTCCACACTGAGACCTGACAACAGATATGAATACAATTAAAATATCTTTTTTAATTGCTTTATCAATATAACTCTCATTTCTGGACTGACATGTAGAGACCATACCATGTATCTTCAATATCTTCAAGGACAACAAGGCCCAATTTCAGAAGAAATATCAGACTTCTCGCAGGACTCTACAACAAAAACAAGGTTGACTTATGCCTTGATACTGTCCCAGTATTACATCATTTATACAAAATTCTAAAGTAAAAAGATATGGATAATTCATTTCGGATAGATCAAATGTACAATTTCTCGCGGAGGCAACTTTACCATAAAATGGATAATGAGTCAAATCAGTTCTTCAGAATAGCTCATCAGAAATCAGAAACTACCCTGGATTTATTTACAGATACTGAACCAGAAAAACATTTTGTTTACTATTTTATTTTTTTAACTGTCAATCCGTGAATCAAGATTCTTTTGGGGACATAATTGTTCTATTTTTATATCGATGCCATGAAAAATTCCACTTACTTGTAGTTCTTCATCAAATGTGAAATAAGAAATAACCAATCTTCTCCAAGAACTAGATCCAGAATACTAAACCGAAAACCAGGTATTTTTGTGAATCTATAATGATTAATTGCATCTTTAAATGTATGCTGTGCCGTGATTATAAATCACTTACTTTTGATGAAACCCAATAGCAATAAGTACTCATTTCATGCTGCTACACTGATAATTAGCCCTGCCAGACTTAATCAGATCAGTCCATAAAGGATACATTTGTGTAACACTTTTTCAGCATCCCACTTCCTTGGAAAATACCACGAAAGGTAGAGATTACTGAATAGTTCTCTAATTTAAAATATAATTCATGATTGCTGCTATAGGAAAAAAAGCTGTGGTAGTTATTAAAGAAAACCACACAGATTTCATATACATGGAATATAATTTCAGCACCACTGCCAAAAACTGGTCTCAAACTGGATGTCACATCGGATTCAACTCATTCTTTAGGGTGTTGCTTCAATATTGTATTTAATACGTTGTCTTAACCCAGCTGTATTCGGGCATTGCGGTTTCAGTAGTCTGTATTGGTAAGCAGGCAGGTTAGTTCTTTGGATACTTCATTATATACGTGCATCAGTAACCAACGATCTCCATGGATATACGTTATTGCAATTTCAGAGGAAACCAAACTACTAAATTAACAAATTGTACATGTACTAAACATAATCCCTTGAAAAAATTTAATAATAAGGACCCTTTCTTTTGAGTTGCATTAATAACAAAGAACAGAATAAATGGATAGTATTATTTTTACACTCAAGAAAATGGATATTTTACATGGTTTTAGGACATTAATTTTATTTATTTCAATTAATCAGTTGGCCCAAATTCAAATCAGTACATCTATATTTCACAACAGGCTGTGAAAATCAGAAAATCCTCCAATAATGCAATATTTTCATCAAATCATTACCATTGGACTGGCTTGCAAATTTTCAAAACACTTCAAAGGCCTTAACTTACACTACAAATATCCCAATAAACATCACCAACTATATGAAAATGGACCAATACAATATGCAACACTTTGATAGTAAGACGTAGCAGAATAAACAGGATGTGAATTCCGGAATGCAATACAGCATAGAAGATAAGGAAATATGGGATAATCCACCAGGATAAAGAAAACACAGATTCTGTATGGGTGTAGGTTGTATATACATGTAACAAGAATATTTCTGGATACTGTTGCTTGTTGTAGGTGCTCACTATTCTGCACCACACATCTCCACATTTTGTTTGGCAAAGATATGTTATTGTTATGCTACGAGGAGAAAGGAAACAACTAGAGGACAAACAAAAATAATTGGTCCAGTAATAGCCTAGCCAAGACACTCAACCATCAGACAAAAGTCATTAAAACCACCCAGTTCTCCAGTTTATAACCTAACTATTAACTTTAAAGACACTCATTGAGTGAAGAGGATTCAACGCTGTTCATCGCCCTACTTTTCAGCAATGCATGACAATCGATCATTTTCGAGCTTCAGTTACCCTTTCAAGTCGATGTTACTAAAAAGCTGATGTACATGTATATTTTCGTTAGGAGCAGCTTGCAATTACTAATTAATCATACACAATCAACGATATATCAACAAACTCCTTTTGATTGCACACACAGTCGGGAGAAATTAACTGGAAGGAAGTATTAACAATATGCAGTACTTAGCTACTGAACCTGGCAGTATGACACCAGTCCTAAGCATCTATTTTTCTTACCACAACATGGCAAATTTTATTGACGGTGAATTCTACCATCGAGTCTTATTTTATGGAATAAGATGAATGCTTACTCTATGCACCAGGAAAATCTGCGATTGTTAAATTGAAAAGACGAAACTAAACCATCCATATGGATAACATGTATTTAGAGGAATGTCAGAAAGATTTTAGTATATCATACATTTATTCGTGCAAAAATAATCATCTTATTGGCTTGAATGCCGAGTCCGCGCACCTCATCGCTAAATAGGATGTGATTAGCAGCTCCGTGGATCTTCCATGCGTTCATCAAAGATATACCTTGAAAGACAAAGCTGATAATGATCTTAAAAGTTTATTTACAGTAAAACCTCCCTTCGTATATATTAATATAACGTTCTTTCTATTTTTAATCAAGTTGAATCAATTATCGTCAAACTGTTCTTATCTGATCAATAGAAATCTATAGAACAGAATGCTAAAATGATTTGTAACCAGACAAAGATAACCATAGCAAATCTGTAATCTTATGAATGGAATTTTAATGTGGCAACTTACATTACGCTTGGAAATTCGATGAACTGAAATTTTACAACATAAAACTTCAATTTGTTACTTAAGATTCATTTTTCTCTGATTTCAATCTAGGTTCGAAAGGTCCCCTTTCCAGCAGCCGCGCACCACCTCCAAGCGACAGAGGACCTGCATTCAGTAGTCGAGGACCACCGCCAAACGATAGACGCGGAGATGATCGCAATGGGTTTAGTGCTTCAAGTCGTCGAGGACCATCACCAAAACGTTCTAGAATGGACGACCGGCCACCTTCAAGAGGTCGCCCACCGATGAGACGATAATTTTAACAAGAAAGTCTATGTCTTCATTCATCTTCATAAAGCTTGTAAAAATCTAGGAAAACAATTCCTTTTAAATATTTGACGTTGTTGAAATCACAAACTATTTTTTTTTCGGTGAATTAGACGGATGATTGTTATTTTTTTTTTTTTACAATAAGTAACGTACTTACAGCAATCGTGATTGGTGCATCGGGTTTTACTTAGTTGTGTCACCCACTATTCTGTAGATCAAACATTCTGCAATTTGTTCGTAGTTAATTATGTTTATCTTTTTATATGAGAAAATCTGAAGATTTAATGATTTGATCTGAGAAAATCTGAAGATTTAATGATTTTATCCTTCTAATCATTAATAGATATGTTGAAATAAACTATTTATAGTGTGGTATTGTCAGTTTGATGTCTGAATAGTTACATCCCCTGTGAGTAAAATGGACAGGTCGAGTACAACCTATTGAAATATGAAAACAAAGATCGTTATGCACGTTTGTTTTGATGCAGTGTCCGCATGTTAATCAAATAAAACCAGACACTGCATTAATAATAATCCAAATAGACATGAGGTTAATGACAGGATTGTGAGTACGGTTGAGTAAATGTTATAATAATTCATTGATAGAATTCGTAACATTCATCATTAATACCATAAATGTAGCAATATGAATAATAGGTATATTAGGCAATACCAACGTACATGACAATGTATGCTTATGTTTTGTATTGAAATATATATATTGATTTGATCGTGATTTCGTTATTTGCTACCAAGTCATTAACTTAAATAGAATACTTTTAGTTGAAGAACCAAAACAGGGAATACATACTGAATGGGTGGGCTGTGAATACACACTTGAACTGGGACACAGCAACTTTTCTGCAGGTATTCAAGGAAATCCTACATAGCTATTTTATGACCAAACTTTGTATAACACGTGATTATTCAAAATGGCTACCCCCTATATCGCGCTGGATTGTATCCTCGATTATCATCAAATAAGAAATAATAAGTTTCCAGGGGCTATTTCACTCAACTGAAGTTTTTCACATTGAATAGGCCGAAACCCCCAACAGTTTTTGACCAATCAAAATGGTTTGATGTATAGGATAAACAGACAAGGATATTTTGTACAGTCCGAATTTAATGAATAGTGTAATGCACTTAACCTGGAGAAAGAAAAAAAACCAAACAAAACAAAAAAACAAACAAATTACCGACAAGCTGTGGAACGAAAATTTGAAATGGTTTTTACTTGTACGCTCAATTTTGGAGTCCATATCGCGGTCTATTTATTTCTTAATACGCTGAAGATTTTGATATGAAAACTGAAAATGTCG